CTGTTACGTTCTGCAGGTAGGTAAGGCCGCAGTTGCTTAAGTAGGCCGCAAGCCCTGGATATACCAACTCCCCGCAAGGCTTCTCAACATCCAGCCTAAAGCTCCGCCGGCGGTATCAGTAGCCGGTCCGGTCTCTGCTGACTGCTTGTAGCCATGTGGTGAATCGATTATTGGCTTTTTAGCAGCTTAATTGCAGGTTTCTGATAGGAGCTCATCGAGTGTGTGACCACCAAGCATGACGGTCCGGCCCTGCCCCCCGGGGTTTTACATTTGTACCCCTGTTCTCTAAAGAGTTATAGCAAAGAGTCAGATCTCTCTTACAGCTGCAGCACCATTGTAGCAACAATATAACGGCTGGCTCAGCTTCATGGGAAACAGAATGTACAGGTAGAGTGTCAGAGTTTAGTCGCCATTCATATAACACGTTAACCTTCACTGCTGTGTCCTTCACAGACCTCTGTTTCATGTGACTCCTAGTCTGATTAATAACTTCTGTATTTCTCAAACTGCTGCTTACTCAACCCGGTTCCCTAATTTTAGTAACGCTTTTTGAAAGGAAACAAAGGAAGACCTTTCAATTTAGGTTTAACAAGCTGATCTCTAATGACATTGAATATTTTCAAACATATAGTCCCCTTTTAATGGCACATTGATACTGTGACAGCCACTAATATAGGGGGATTATCTACTGAACTGGACATTCTGTAGAAATAACAAGAGAATTCCAGGCATTCAAAGTGAATTTATAATTTTAGGACAAAAATGCTACACTGAAAACTTAGGAGAATTGGATCATTTTTAAATTCTGCTATTCTGGCTTGAAAAGTTAAATTCACTTTTAAATAATTTTGAATCCCTGACTATTCACACTTTTTTGAATAACATACTTATAACATACTGCCTGCTCCTGCTGCTGGAATTCTTTCGTAATATTTTCAGTGATATCTATGGAGTTTGCAAAATGTTTGGGGGAATCAGAGGATTTCACGCACACTTTGACAAACATTCCAAGATGGCCCCTGTCTTCAGCAAATATGGCAGCCAAATTAATTAACTATACTGCATTGAGACTTAAGGGGATACTATAGGCACTAAAACAACTTTAGCTTAATGAAGCAGTTTTGGTGTATAGAACATGCCCCTGCAGTCTCGCTGCTCAATTCTCTGCCATTTAGGAGTTAATGCAGCCCTAGTCACACCTCCCCGCATGTGACTTACACAGATTTCCTAAACACTTCCTTTAATCAAAGGTTCTGTGATGACTATAGTAAACCTTTAATGAAACTACTTCACACTGATGTTAAATAGAGGATCCCTGGCCCAGTAACAAGAAGGACTAAAAAATAGAAACAGCATGGCTTTGTATTAATTGTGGGCTCAGGAGCCTGGGTCAGGGAACTGCAGAGTAAAATGACTCACTGACATTGATTTTTGCCATAATAACTGGAAATATGTACAGGTGACAAAGGAACCAGGATCAAAATATGTAACTGATTCCGAATGAATTAAAACACCAAGACCTGGGAATGTGGAACACACTGGGAAATCAGAGATCTGGGGTTGGACAGGTATATTTACGGTTATTGGATGGCAAACTGGTTGGTCTTCAAGGGATGGAGAATCAAATCTGTATCAACGATCTTTTCATGGGAACAAGCTCCTGTATATTATTTTACAGCCAACCATAAATACAGAGGGTTGTTCAGTGATTAGACAGAAGACGCATTAAGGATTTGGGGGATTACCCAGTCCTGGTTCAATGGGATGCAGTTATTAAGTGTTACTGGTGATTAAACAATGAGATGCTGAAGATGCTATAATTGGGGAGTAATTAAACACTAAGAGTCTAAGACATAATGGGGAAGCATTAATTAAGATTCAGAGGATGCAATAATTGAACGTTGGATTCTGCATCAGAATAACAGGGAGTCAGGCATGCAGTGCCAGAGCTGTGCAAGCAGTGATCAAAAGTATAGGATACAGTGATAGACAGTGCAGTGATAGTACATGTAGTGCAGTGACAGAGTATAGGATACAGTGATAGACAGTGCAGTGATAGTACACGTAGTGCAGTAATAGAGTATAGGATACAGTGATAGACAGTGCAGTGATAGTACATGTAGTGCAGTGACAGAGTATAGGATACAGTGATAGACAGTGCAGTGATAGTACATGTAGTGCAGTGACAGAGTATAGGATACAGTGATTGACAGACAGTGCAGTGATAGTACATGTAGTGCAGTGACAGAGTATAGGATACAGTGATTGACAGACAGTGCAGTGATAGTACATGTAGTGCAGTGACAGAGTATAGGATACAGTGATAGACAGTGCAGTGATAGTATATGTAGTGCAGTGATCAAAAGTATAGGATACAGTGACAGACAGTGCAGTGATAGTACATGTAGTGCAGTGACAGAGTATAAGATACAGTGATTGACAGACAGTGCAGTGATAGTACATGTAGTGCAGTGACAGAGTATAGGATACAGTGATAGACAGTGCAGTGATAGTACACGTAGTGCAGTGATAGAGTATAGGATACAGTGATAGACAGTGCCGTGATAGTACACGTAGTGCAGTGATAGAGTATAGGATACAGTGATAGACAGTGCCGTGATAGTACATGTAGTGCAGTGATAGAGTATAGGAAACAGTGATAGACAGTGCCGTGATAGTACATGTAGTGCAGTGACAGAGTATAGGATACAGTGATAGACAGTGCAGTGATAGTACATGTAGTGCAGTGACAGAGTATAGGATACAGTGATTGACAGACAGTGCAGTGATAGTACATGTAGTGCAGTGATAGAGTATAGGATACAGTGATAGACAGTGCAGTGATAGTACATGTAGTGCAGTGACAGAGTATAGGATATAGTGATAGACAGTGCCATGATAGTACATGTAGTGCAGTGATAGATTAAAATATACAGTGATAGACAGTGCAGTGATAGTATATGTAGTGCAGTGATCAAAAGTATAGGATACAGTGACAGACAGTGCAGTGATAAAATTTATGCTTAGTGCGGTAGGTATAAGATGAAGTGAATTGAATAGCCGGTGTTGATGATAGTACGTAGCCAGTGCAGTGATAGAGTATAGGATACAGTGATAGACAGTGCAGTGTTAGTACATGTAGTGCAGTGATAGAGTATAGGAAACAGTGATAGACAATGCCGTGATAGTACATGTAGTGCAGTGACAGAGTATAGGATACAGTGATTGACAGTGCAGTGATAGTACATGTAGTGCAGTGATAGAGTATAAGATACAGTGATAGACAGTGCAGCGATAGTACATGTAGTGCAGTGACAGAGTATAGGATACAGTGATAGACAGTGCAGTGATGGTACATGTAATGCAGTGACAGAGTATTGGATACAGTGACAGACAGTGCAGTGATAGTATATTTAGTGCAGTGACAGAGTATAGGATACAGTGACAGACAGTGCAGTGATAGTATATTTAGTGCAGTGACAGAGTATTGGATACAGTGATAGACAGTGCAGTGATAGTACATGTAGTGCAGTGACAGAGTATAGGATACAGTGATTGACAGACAGTGCAGTGATAGTACATGTAGTGCAGTGACAGAGTATAGGATACAGTGATTGACAGACAGTGCAGTGATAGTACATGTAGTGCAGTGATAGAGTATAGGATACAGTGACAGACAGTGCAGTGATAGTATATTTAGTGCAGTGACAGAGTATAGGATACAGTGACAGACAGTGCAGTGATAGTATATTTAGTGCAGTGACAGAGTATTGGATACAGTGATAGACAGTGCAGTGATAGTATATGTAGTGCAGTGACAGAGTATAGGATACAGTGAGAGACAGTGCAGTGATAGTATATGTAGTGCAGTGACAGAGTATCGGATACAGTGATAGACAGTGCAGTGATAGTACATGTAGTGCAGTGACAGAGTATAGGATACAGTGATTGACAGACAGTGCAGTGATAGTACATGTAGTACAGTGACAGAGTATAGGATACAGTGATTGACAGACAGTGCAGTGATAGTACATGTAGTGCAGTGACAGAGTATAGGATACAGTGACAGACAGTGCAGTGATAGTATATGTAGTGCAGTGACAGAGTATAGGATACAGTGATTGACAGACAGTGCAGTGATAGTACATGTAGTGCAGTGACAGAGTATAGGATACAGTGACAGACAGTGCAGTGATATTATATGTAGTGCAGTGACAGAGTATCGGATACAGTGATAGACAGTGCCGTGATAGTACATGTAGTGCAGTGACAGAGTATAGGATACAGTGATAGACAGTGCAGTGATAGTACATGTAGTGCAGTGACAGAGTATAGGATACAGTGATTGACAGACAGTGCAGTGATAGTACATGTAGTGCAGTGATAGAGTATAGGATACAGTGACAGACAGTGCAGTGATAGTACATGTAGTGCAGTGACAGAGTATAGGATACAGTGATAGACAGTGCAGTGATAGTACATGTAGTGCAGTGACAGAGTATAGGATACAGTGATTGACAGACAGTGCAGTGATAGTACATGTAGTGCAGTGATAGAGTATAGGATACAGTGACAGTCAGTGCAGTGATAGTACATGTAGTACAGTGACAGAGTGTAGGATACAGTGATAGACAGTGCAGTGATAGTACATGTAGTGCAGTGACAGAGTATAGGATACAGTGATTGACAGACAGTGCAGTGATAGTACATGTAGTGCAGTGACAGAGTATAAGATACAGTGACAGACAATGCAGTGATAGTATATGTAGTGCAGTGACAGAGTATAAGATACAGTGACAGACAATGCAGTGATAGTATATGTAGTGCAGTGACAGAGTATAGGATACAGTGATTGACAGTGCAGTGATAGTACATGTAGTGCAGTGACAGAGTATAGGAT